CAAAAAGAGTGGAGTTCATCCCAAAAAACGCCGAGGGCAACGGTCCAGACCTGAGCTTAAAGAGAGTCACTGCACTGCTATAATAATAATAGGGAAAGACTTTAAGAGCCCATCTCTTGAAACGGAAATATCTCTTCAAATATAGCTGGTCTCTAGTGAAGGGGGATCACAGCTTAGGCCGCTAAATGATTGCAGGGGGGGAGAATTAGCAAGACGCAGCATAGATAGATCAAAATGTGTCAATTATGTCTTTCCTTTCTCTAATCCCTTTGGTCAGAATATTTTTTTTTGATGACTTTGGCGTGTTCATACAGTAGGTTGGATGAAAGCGCTTTAAAGTGATGACACGGAGTTTCGGTCTGCAGGTGAATTTCTGTCCCAGCGCCGTGTGTTTTCTTTGTGCTACACGCCTGCAAGTAGTGTTAGAAGAGCTTTATGGTGATAGGCCGGCAGCCTTCGATCCCCAAACAAATAACACATTTATACCATTTTGCTTTTGCCGCTGGCGTTCAAATAACATTTCTTCTGCTGCTTAAATGGGAATAAAAAAGTATTGTGTTGTGCGACTTCACGTGACAGCAGAACCCTGGCAGAAGAAAAGAGGCAGGATTGTGATTCCAGCTCTTGTTAGGCTGTCGTCCCCCCCCCCCCGTTAGATCTGACTGTCATGGGGAACCGTTTAAAGGAGGCTCTTTCCCAACCGTCAGCTGATCTCCACCGCCGAATGGGCAGATACGAATAGCTGCACCATAGCTGCACATTTGCCAGCCGGTTTTCGTGCCTCCGGTGTTTTCGTGTTGATCCATGTGTGCAGTCCTGAGAGAAGGCGAGTGCCCTCATAAGCTTTTGTTTGGTTTTGTTGCAGAAATATTCTTGACATGGGCTGTATTAACAGAGGGTTTTCTTTTTTTTTTTTGTCTTTTTTTTTTGATCGGACAAGAATTGTTAATCTGCCCATAACGCTGTGCCCTGTTCAATTCCTTACATAATCTCTGACATGAGCCCGCTGGCTTGCGTCACTCTGTCATTGACAGCTGTCAACACAACACGGCCCGACGCACACAAATACACACTCGCTCACACGCGCGCAGGGAAGCGAATGTGTTTCTTCTCTCCAACTGGTTCACATGCTTTCTTTCTTTGTAAATGAGCCAATGGAGAGAAAAAAAAAGAGAGGCTTTGCGCAGACAGAAGGGAATATAGACGCCCCGATCTCAGACCTCATTTATTCTACATATCTATCATGAATCATCAGGCCATGAGAAAATGATTTATTGGTCCAATCGAGTAATGGGTTAAGCTCTGCGCATTATGAGGCCTGGGCATGGGTCTGTAATGTAAGGGATAATCGTAATCCTTAAACGTTATGTCAGTAGTCCAAGGGTTCAGTGGAAACAGCCAGGAGATTTTGACTGGTGATTTTCCATGTTTGCACAAGCTTGGAGGATATCCGCTTTTTATTTATAATATTTGTTTTACCAGCATGCCACATCTCAAATTAAAACAATACAATTATGATCATTTATATCGTCATTCTGTGGATGTTTAAACATCAAACTACTAATCGTTGTTTTTTTCCTCTGTTGTGACATTTTTGAAATATTTCCCCGCGTTTTCCATTCATTATTTCTCAGCTTCACAGTTTCATTATGTCTTGTGAATCCTTTATAGCATTTAATGAATCAATACTACATTTGCGGTGTTCTTTCTGTCAGTCGCTTTCTATGCGATGCTCGAACTAAGACGTGGCCCCTTTTGGTAAATCGTTCTGGCCGTTCACATCGGAGCGTCAGTTCCCAGGTCTTCCATGGGCTTTTACCAGTGGGTTGATCTCGGGGCTGTGGAGAAGACGCTGAAGGGCACCGGGTGAACACGCAGAGCCTCTGCTGCCCCCATTGTGCATGTGCTCTGAGTGACACGTCATCCCCCTCAAAGGGCCCGCTGGTGTGGTGAATCAGTGCCCTTGAACTGCTCAACCACAGACGGACAAAGAACAAGCTGTGGCATTGGGCTTGACTTGTCTCCTCGCTCTGCCATGCCCATTGTCCAACACACCCGCGACGGTCTGCAATGCTGCATGCAGGAAATCGCTCACCAGCCGCCGCCCGGCCCTCGCCGCCATGAGTGTGCTTCGATTGTGCTGCAGTGCGATTCACACGTAATCTCGGCGTCTCGGTGTCTTTGAAGTGGCCGGCGTGCCGAGGCCATCTCGGGTGCCGCGAGGAGCGTGGTGGCTGCTGGGACGGGCTCTAGCATGGCCGCCCGTCTCACTGTCGACTGGTTTTGATGTCGTAAACAGTGCAGTGCTCGCTGGCAGGGAAGCGCGCATGGAGGGAGGGAGGCAGGCGGGCAGGCGGGCGCAGTGAATCGGATCAGTGGCGCTGCTGCGCTGGTCAAGCTCAAGCAAGTCGGCAGCTGCCTGTTTCACAACAAGAGGCAGTTAACACCGCAGCTCATGTCAATAGATATTGACTGCCAGATTGGGAGTGCTTGGGAGCGCGTGCCTTTTTGTTTGACCGAGGATTCCCAGCGTTAATTCGGTTTAAATCATCATCAGTGTCCACGTTTAGCTTGGGGGACCCTATGACCAGTAACGCAGGAGGACACAGACATACGCGTATTGACTGATGAGGTCTTCTTGGTGTACTTGATCTGCTTTTTTTCATTGCTGGGGATTTATTCTCCTTGACCCCTCTCCATGTCTTTTTTTTTTTTTGAAAGCAGCTTATCCTAGTGTGGAAATATCTCCTATGTTCAGACTCTGGTCTTCTCTCTTACAAGAAATTGCCGCTCCAGAGACAAAACCCTTTTTACTGTTGAGTGCACTGAGCATTCGGGGAGTGAGAGGGTGTTAGCGGGTGAGGGCTGTGTGCACTCTGGGTCTCCCCCTGCTCCCGCCCACCCTGGCACCCTCGTGTCTCTACTCCTACACCGCCTTCACCTGATGTGGCACAGCCTCTGTCGGGCCTGAGCGAGAGCCCAGCCAGCTCCGCTTCTATGGGAGAGATGAAGGCATCTCACGGCTATACTGTGGGGGCGGGGGGAGGGGGGGGGTCCTAAGCCTGGAGCTATCAGAGGCTGGAGCTCAGAGCCAAAAGCCTGTGGGCTGGATGGGGTGGGTGGAAGAAGCTTGGCTTAACTTGGCAGGACAACCACAGCCACAGCCCTGGACTGCCACCCAATGGCCGGGGTCTGTCAATGCAGCCTCTAGCTCACAGCAACCACAACTAGTCATAATTACGGCACGCTTCAGTTGTTGTGAGTGCACGTCAGAACAAATTACGTAAGTAATGAGGCTGAAGACGCTATAGCAGTTGAAACGCATTGTACGGCTAATGCACATGCAGGGAGAACACCAAAACAAACAATCGAGTGCACTCGTACAGAGATGGACCTAACCCAAGTAACGAGGCACAGTACACAGTGAGCAATAGATTAATTATGAATTAACCCTCTACGTTTAGGTTGTCGCAACCCCGCCCCCTGTCTGGATTTCACTCTAATCCGGGCCGACGAGGTGCAATGCCCTCTATTGTGTGTGTGTGTGTGTGTGTGTGTGTGTGTGTGAGAATCACAAATCGCATGAGGTGTTGTCTGGAGGAGAATTAATTGTGCATGTTCACTACTCCCTTTTGTTCATTTTACTAAAATGTAGGCTAATTCCATGTAAACATGGCCGGTGTTGTTGACTCCAGCAGCGCGAGGAGAACAGACTCTGATTCCTGGATGAATGGAGTGCGGCGGCGGGGTTACTGGATTAGGGGCTCTGTGTTAAGGGGCTCTCTCCCGGGCGCGCCTCAGGGACAAGGACATTATCCACATGACACATTACAAGCTCGTAGGCAGATGATTAAAATGGTTTTAGGGATCTTCGGATTGAACTTGAGCAGAAGAACTTTTGATCTGATCAAACTAGTTTAAAGAGGTTGGCTGTTAAGGTGTAGGAGGGATATGTGAAGCTTCGAGTCTGGTGAAGACCCAGTCGGGCCTTTTGCTGGAGGGGAAAGGCTGATGTAACTCTTTGACATCAAATGTACCACCACTTTTTTAATTATCATTTTTTCCTGCATCTTATTAAAGCAATACCATAGTATTCCTCCCCTAATTGGTAACGGCTGATGTTGCAACAGCTCCACTAGCTCTGATTGGCTGGTTGCAGGAAGCCGCCACATTGTGCGAAAATATCCTGAGGTGATCTTTCCTCGATTTAGATCAGATAAGGGTGTTTGTCTGCCGCTGCAGCGTGTGAGTTGGGATGGTGGGACTGCGAAGTTGGGGATGTGGAGGAGGGGCTATGATAGAGATCTCTAGAGGGACAGGAGGTGCTGCAAAAGGGGACGTAGCATCCGTAGACCGCAACGATAAAGCCGAGCTGGGGTTTCTGTCGTCTCCGAGGTCTGTGTGTACCACCGTGCGCTCTGCTCCTGAGGAGGAGGAGGAGGAGGCCAACGATGGATGAGCGCCGTCTTTCTCTGTCCCTCGTCCTCCGTGGCGGGTGAAATCACAGGCCTGTCAGCGGCACGACACCGCGGCCGCCGAGCACTTTCAACTCTCAGCGCGAGCAGACGTGCGCGGCCCCTCCCACTGCGGTGGACATGCTTTGAGTCCTCGTGGCCGCGGTTGACTCACTCCCGGGGTTGTTGCGGTTTTGAAGTTTTTAGAGGCTTCGTGGAGGCTCCTCGTGATGTTAGATGAGCCTGGGGTTTTTGGATGGATGGCTTTTTCCTTAAACAAGTTCGATTTGACATTTTGTTTACATTGGTTTAAGATGTCCTCCTTCCTGTCACACACACACACACACACACACACACACACACACACGTAAATATTCAGCTAATGCTCTGTGGAAGTGGAAGATTCAGAAGCCACCGGATGAGATGTTTTTAGAAGCACAGGGCTCTTTCATGTACCAACATGGATCCATGGCGAGGGTGTTGTACACTTGTGACTTGTGACAGCAAAATGTTGATTTATTTCTCTTTTTTTTTTCTTGCCTGCAGCTCAAATCGAAATAATTCCCTGCAAGATCTGTGGAGACAAATCATCAGGCATCCATTACGGCGTGATAACATGTGAAGGCTGTAAGGTGAGCATCAAGAGACCGGAGCCGTCATGGGAAGCACTGATTGTGAGGGTGTGTGTGTGTGGGGGGGGGAGGGGAGGGCATGATATCTGTAAGACATTTGAAGAGGTACCGAAAGTTGCTCGCTAGGAAAAACATTTCCAAATGTTGCCGAAGTTTTACAGCGATTTGCAGAGGGACTGCGAAGTGTAGACACAAAGAAAGCGATCATTAAAGTGGTCAAGCACCACAGAGGACATCACAGCAGGCGCAATTAGTAGGACAAAGTCATCCGTCTGCCTGGCTCTGCCTTTCCCTCCCAGGGACACACGTCTTTTCACTTTCCTTCTTCTTTCTTTTTTTTGCTTCCGCTGCAGCTTGCTCTTCTTGAAATAAAATGATCAAAAGGAGAGCGCTTTGAATTATAGCAGATTGTTGGCTGTTTGCTACAGTGTTGCTTCCATTGAAGGCGCCTTTTGTACTGTTTCAAATGCGCCAGCCATTCACAGTGAGGGGAATTTTGTGCTTAGAGTGTATTCTTGTCCCAGCGCTTGTCACCAGGCACATCATTAGCATTCCTCAGCCAGCCTGCACCTTTACTGTTTGCTCCTGCATGTGTGTTTGCGTCTGTCTGTCTGTCTGTTTGTGTGTGTGCGTGTGTGTGTGTGTGTGTGTGTGTACAGAGAGCGCGAGCGGGTTGGCTAAGCTCCCTCAAACAGGAGCTGGAAGGAACAAAACAGGAAAGAACAAACTGCCGAAATCTATCTTTAATGATTGCTAATTAGTCCAAAGCAGAGAGGCCTTTAATGATATGTGCGAGTACAAAAGTTTGGACCATAAATCATAGCATTATTAAAGAGTGCTGCTTGTCACTGGCAGTTATAGCCTGTTTCCTTAATGGCTTCCATTATAAAGCAACTTGGCAGCTGTCAGCTGTTTTCTTGTAATTAAACAGCCAATGAGCAGCTAATTAAGACATATGTGTATGGAACAGAAGAGTGGGGCATGTTAATGATGTGCTGGAATCGATTCATTAAGTCAAAGGATGAGGAATCCAGTCGGTGTGCGCTCGCGATCCGTCCGCGCTGCACATGCCGGTGCTGCGTTAATCAACACTAATAGCCCCAGTGAAGAAAAATAGCATCCACTGTTATCGTTCCTACCCAAACACACAAACATACGCTGCACACACTGGTGAAATAAAACACCATTTGAACGGCCGATTCAACAGCCAACAACAGCAGCAGTATTGTCTAATCTGTTTGGTAGCAAATCAAATAAAACTATCAGCAGCAGGAAGACAGTAAATCATTACCAGTCAGCTGATGACATTCACTAAATATGCACTAAAACCCCCAATGAAACTGATCCTTCAGTCCCAGAGCAGTTCTCCTCCCCACGGCGGCCCATCCAGTGACCCAAAGCGATTGCATGCCCCTTTTCTGTTCAGGGCTTCTTCAGGAGGAGTCAGCAGAGCAATGCGGCCTACTCCTGCCCCCGTCAGAAGAACTGCCTGATCGACCGCACCAGCCGCAACCGCTGCCAGCACTGCCGGCTGCAGAAGTGCCTGGCGGTGGGGATGTCACGAGATGGTGAGTGCTTGATGGGAGAGGTGGGCGGGCACGGCAATGGGAGGGAGGGAGGGGGGGGGCGCATGTTGAATCAGGGGAGGTGAAGAGCTCAGGTTCAAGCGCCTGTGTGGGCAAGAATGTGCTCTGCTGGAGTGTGTTTGGAGCGCTGCTTCGGGGACACTGGTGGACTCTGGCCTCCGTGTGAAGGCGGGCAAGAGGGGAAAGGATTTACTCACTCAGGGGATCAAAAGATCAATGACATTTCATGAAGGTATTGTTTATTTAGGGCTCAGTATTTATTACGACAAACGAGGCAGGAATGTATCAGTTTATTTTGAATTAAAAAAATGAGGAAGGACTGGATGAGAAAATCGAATGCAAATTAAAAAGGAAGAGAACGTTGTTTTTGTAAACTATTAAGTGCAATTTCTTAAGCTGTCCTTTGTCCTTGGTGATCTGAGTATTTCTTGGCAAAAATGATGAGTCTTGAGGAATATTTTCGGAAAGCGTCAGAAAAACAACATCAGAACTCTGTTGCGACTTAAAGCTGCTGTCATGTGTCTTTATTGTCATCTGGCCCCCACATACCGCCGATGGCATGTGACTAACTACTGACATTTGAGTACAAACACACGGATAATGAACTCCTTCATTCTCCAAGAGACACGACAGACACGTCCCAAGCAAATGATGACATGAACACATGCTAAGACGTCAGTCCGTGTTGTCTGCCAGTAGCAGGTGAGGTGCTTTGTCTGCGGGACTAATTTGTTGCTGTGATAGAAACTAGGTTTGATGAAATAGGAGGTTGTTAGAGGATGTCATTAGCGCCACTGCAGCTGTGACGCTGTAATGGGAGCACACAGGTGGGGATTGTGTGCGGGAGGGCTCTCGCTGTGCCAGGCTGGTCCAGACTGGACCAGTCCAGTCTGAGCTGAGAAGATAATATCGGAACAAAGCAGATCTATGTGCTTTTTTTTTTTTTTTTTTTTTTTAACCCACACAGGAATTCACACAGACAAGGCTGAACAGACACGGCCGTCTCTCTATGCTAATTACTTTGCTTAAATTCAGTTACGCACAGCCGTGCATATTCATGCATACGAATGAACATTAGCACTTATGAGTGGCTTTGCGTACCCAGACGCATGCACATATACGCACACGTATATATATATGCACACACTCAGGACAGACGAAGGTGACTCTTGCTTTCACTCAACACACCAGAGCACATTTGCCGGCATCTTCTACATCATCGTCTCCTCATCTCTTCCTACGTCCTCATCCTCATCCTCGTCTAGCCGCTACACTCGCTTTCCACTGGGCCTCGACAAGAACACACACACACACATTTACACACACTGTGACCGGCTGACATACTGCCACGCACCCACAACTGGCCAAGGAGTCACAATCTCCACCACCAGTGGTTAGTCTGGAAACCTTGAAACAGGAGGCAGCGACTTAGCACGTCTCACGTTTGAGTGGCTGGTAAGCTGTTAGTCACTTCCCACTTCTGCCTCTGCACACATGAAGCCGTTTATCCTTTTTTTTTTTTTTTTTTAATAATCTCCTTAGTGATCCCTCCCCCCTCAAATGTGGAGATTTGCTTCTACTAAAAAAAGTTGATCACTTTTACTGTACGTCGGTATTGTGAAGAACGAAGCAGCAGGTGTCTTTTTATCTGATGGTCACATGATGCGACTTTAACATACCTTTGTGCTTTGGACTGCTGGGTGAAGGTATAAATTGTTAAATGATCTCTGAACAACGTACACATTTTATAGTAAGTAAGGATTTAATGTTCCCCAAAAAAAACCTCAATCCTTTTCTCTCATCTGAAAAATTTTGACTGACGGGAAGAATTGTGTTTTTGTTATAGTTGTCGAAATCCAACGAATAATGTAATAAAATAATAGACAGATAGATAGATAATAAAATTTGTTCGCAGAGCCAAAGCCGGGCTTTTTCTAAACATAACTGTCATCTGTTAGTGTCTATAAAATTATGAAATTAGGTTTGTTTATGTTGGTAATCCCTCAATAATAAAATAAGTACAGTAAAGTAACTAATAAGACAATTATTCAGCTAACTTGGGCTTTCACAGTGTTGTGATGTAATGCAATGCTTCACTCGAGAGTAACACGTGTTTTGTCCCGCTAACCACAGCGGTGAAGTTCGGCCGCATGTCGAAGAAGCAGCGGGACAGCCTGTACGCTGAGGTCCAGAAGCACCGGCTGCAGCAGCAGCAGCGGGACCACCAGCAGCAGCCTGGAGAGGCGGAGCCGCTCACGCCGACCTACGGCCTCTCAGCCAATGGCCTCACCGAGCTCCACGACGACCTCAGCGGCTACATGGACGGTCACACCCCTGACGGCAGCAAACCGGACTCGGCGGTCAGCAGCTTCTACCTGGACATCCAGCCGTCTCCTGACCAGTCAGGCCTGGACATCAACGGCATCAAGCCGGAGCCCATCTGCGACTTTGCCCCCGGTTCTGGCTTCTTCCCTTACTGCTCCTTCACCAACGGAGAAACCTCCCCCACCGTGTCCATGGCTGAGCTAGGTAAGTGGCAGGACGGAGGCAAGGGGGGGAAGGGGGGCGAGATGGAGAGACAGCAAAATGGAGGAGGGGGGGGTAACTCAACCGTGGGGCAAACGACACAAAGGTTGCTTAAAATAGCAGGAGGTTGGAGACTCATCTCCAACACTCATTAAAAGAGCCTCTTTTTTGTAATTAGTTTCCATTAATTAGGGCCAATCAGGATCCAGCAGGGCAGGCGTCGAGGGAAATCATTTTTTTTCGGCTCCCCTGTGCCCAGGAACTCCTTTTAACAGATGTGTTTTCAAAACCATTTAAATTCTTATACTCAATATTTCTCTCAGAGAAAATGTGACCTTTGTTTCAGTGAGCAACGTGGCGCCCCTCCTCCTCGCCACGCATGTGTGTCATAACTAGATTGGCTGTGCCTCAATCTTAAGTTATGAGCTTCCTGGAGGCATTGAAAGGAAATGTCAACAAGCCTTTTCCCAGTCCCAAAAAAAAAAAAAAAAAGCCCACGCGTATCCGCCTCTCCTCCTTTTCCAAAGGCTCAGTAAATAAATCTTCTTTTCCTGTGGCACATTGTGGCATATCACCAATGAGGGCTTCCCTTTCACACATCCGTGCAGAGTAACATTCACATCTCAACCGTGATCGTCTTGCATTGCAGAGCACCTGGCCCAGAACATCTCCAAGTCACACATGGAGACATGTCAGTACCTGAGGGAGGAGCTGCAGCAGATGACCTGGCAGGCCTTCCTGCAGGAGGAGGTGGAGAGCTACCAGAGCAAGGTACCGCCACCCCGTCCGGGCCTTTTTCCGGCCCTCCGCAGCAGCGAGAGTTATCGAACCCATTGTTTTAAAGCCGATAACCCATTCTCTGTCCTCTGTCCTATCTGTCCTCAGCCCCGGGAAGTCATGTGGCAGCTGTGCGCTATCAAAATAACAGAGGCCATTCAGTATGTGTGAGTTCGCCAAGCGCATCGACGGCTTCATGGAGCTGTGTCAGAACGATCAGATAGTGCTGCTGAAAGCAGGTATGACAGCCTGTCAACATGGCCTGTTGCCGTCAAACTCAACCCCCCCCACCCCCCCCGCCCCCCCTTCTCCTCTGGCATTGTCACAAGAGCGTAGCTGACCTGACTGCACAAATTCCTCCTCTTCGCGCACGCAGACAGTGTCACAGAGAGGAGACCCCCCACCCTGCCGCTTTCCTCTCTCCGCCTGGTTCGCTGTTTTATTCTCTTTCATTCTGGTCATAGCAGGGACGGACACGGCATTAGATAAGCAATGCATTCTTGATAATACCTATCATGACTGCTGCCATTCCCCTCTCATTCCTCGGACACCCATGATGTCTGCTTATTCAAACTGCTCTCAACGAGACAGCCTCGGCGAATATTCAACGCGGCGATGGCTGTGTGCACACGGTGAACTATATTTACGCATAAATACAGGTGCCGGAGCACACATGCAGCAAACGCGCACCTCTCTTGGGTCTTTCCTTGGGTATTATTGACATCAGCACAGCCAATATGAATAATGAAATAAAGACTGAGATCCCTTGTCAGACATGACATTTAAAACAGTTGCATCTCCCTCAGAGGCAGTAATGGCTTCTGTTACATTCCCGTGATCCTCTTATCAACTCCCCCAGAGTGGTACAACATTGTACGGTAGAATAAATTCCCCACCTATCTTGCTAAATAAAGGTTGAATGAAGAAACACCGCCGCTACTGAATGAAGCTCAATTTGTTATCTGGCATGTCATTACGGGAGAATAGCCTTCTGTCTATGATATTATCATCTGCAGAGGAGTTTTTTTTTTTTTTTTTCTCTCCCTCTGACGGCAGGCGTCTTCGTGTCAAAGTGGTTGTGCTACTCACGTCGTAGAAGAATAGCACAAAGCACGGCCGTGTGTTTTGCATCCTTTACTGATGTGTAACTGTTGGGGGGGGGGGAAAGAAACAACGCTCAGATTCCGCATCTTGTTCCTGTCTGTCTCCGTAGGCTCTTTGGAAGTCGTGTTCGTCAGAATGTGCCGTGCCTTTGACTCGCAAAACAACACCGTCTATTTTGATGGAAAGTATGCCGGACCTGATGTGTTCAAATCATTAGGTGAGTACAGTGTGTGTGTGTGCGTGTGTGTGTGCGTGCACATACGTGTGCGTGCTTGAACACGTTGGCATGTGTGGATCTGTATGCTGCCGTGTAGACTAAGCACTCATCCCTGCCTCACCTGGCAGCGCTGTCTCTGCAATGGTTATTTATGGTAGAACAGAGATGTTAGTGAGGCTCTGCTGCATATGGCTTCTGTAACTGTGGAATAAATAAAGCCAGACGCAGTGTCTTCGGGGGTAGCGCTATCAAAACCATCAGTGATAGTCTGCTATAAAACATCCCAGGCGAAAGGAAACAACGCCCGTGTTTGACTGCCGTGACAATAGCAAGACTCTCCACCGTGGAGTTTCTCGGATTTCTAAAGTAAATATGTCCCACGGCAGCATTAAAAAATTCTGGTGTAAGTTTGCCTTTCAGTGTATCTCCCCGATTGTGTGTGCAATCGTGCATGTGTATCCGTCCCAACTCAGAGAGCTTCCCAGTGTCCTGTGTGCTCCTCACGGAGGGGTCTGCGGCGCGTTAGGCAGAGCGATGGGCTTCCCGAGCCGCAGCGGCATCCGCCTGTCTCGCTGTATCCCCGATAATTGATTTAACTAAAAGCCTCAATAGTGACCTCATTTTGCCTTGCATAACACCACCCCAACTGCCAAAAGTGACTCGTCTGGGAGGCAAAACTCGGTAAAAGCATTGCCTGCTCTGCTTAAGACGCTCCCATGTGCTGTCAGCATGCCGCTCTTTTTCATTCCTCCCCCTTCCTCTCCTCTCCCCCGTGTGCCTCTCTCCCAATAAAGATCAAGGGTGGATGTTGTTCTTTGGTCTTCCTCGTGCTAAGCCCTCTCTCTGTGTCCTTTGCTGTGGCAGGCTGTGACGACTTGATCAGCTCCGTCTTCGAGTTTGGGAAAAACTTGTGTTCTATGCACCTGTCTGAGGATGAGATCGCCCTGTTCTCCGCCTTCGTGTTGATGTCTGCTGGTAGGTGTCACTCACAGTGCAAAGAGGAAAAAAAAGAAAAAGTTAGACGCACAGCCGCCCAACACAAAGAACGTGGTCGCCCTCCTGTTTTCCTCAGTTAGTACCTGTTATTGGTGCAACTGCGTCATTAAGGGGCTTTTAGGCAAAAACAAACTGTCATATTCATCTCCCTTCCAGACCGGTCTTGGCTGCAGGAGAAGGTGAAGGTGGAAAAACTCCAACAGAAGATTCAGCTGGCCCTCCAGCACGTCCTGCAGAAGAACCACAGAGAGGACGGTATACTTACAAAGGTAAAGCGTGACGCAGTACACGTCCATTCAGTATCCCCGGAAGTAGCTGCCTGATAAACATGCCCCGCCATTGTGGCAGTGAAATCACCTACTGTTTGGGGTATTCATCTGCCGACCATCAACCATTTCCTTTGATTAAGCGTACACGCGGTGCACAGGGGGAGGCCTTCGTAACGTTTGACTAAATGCTTTTTTAGCAGCGGAAGAAGTGGCAATTCATCAGCTCCATATGAGGTGTCAGGTGCACCTTTTTTTTTTTTGCCTGAGCGCTTGTCTCAAAATGTACAAGTCTGTCTACCCCTGTGCGCGAGGGAATACACTGTGGGGCGGGATGTTTTTCCACCACCATTGCTCCATGTCCTTGCCTCAGTGTGAATCTAAACCGCCTGTCTCCTTTCTCTCCACAGTTGATATGCAAAGTGTCGACGCTGCGAGCGCTGTGCAGTAGGCATACAGAGAAGCTTACGGCTTTCAAAGCAATATATCCAGACATTGTGCGTGCCCACTTCCCCCCCTTATACAAGGAGCTGTTTGGATCAGACTTTGAGCAGTCCATGCCCGTTGACGGGTAGCAGCCCTGCCAGGTGCCACTGTGCCCACCGTAGGGGAATGTGGAGGAGGAATCTGAGACACTTTATTGGTGCCCTGCACAAAACCAGAGCGGACAGATGGCACGCTGTTCAACTTCTTCTTTTACTTTGAAGGGGAGGGCTTAGGGAGTTGATTATTAAGGTTTACTTTATTGAGTTTAGTTCTCTTTTGGAAGGCTTGTGGGACCCGACACCCCGCGGGACATGAAGAGATTGGGACAAATGGTTTCTGTGTGGTTGAACTTGACCCTATTTTGCGCATTTCTGTGATTCACTTGTTATTCAAGCGTCGTTTTGGCATCGACCTTATCTTTTACCTGTGCATCTGACTTGTACGTACATAAACAATTAACAAAGCACTTTGGGAAATAAAAAATAGCCCAAGACATCAGTATTATTTGTCCCCCTGTCTCCCCCATAGTGAAATTAACTGCTGACAAATGTGCACATTTTGGTCAAGTTCAGCCCTTTTTCTGTTGTGTTCAGTCGTACCGTTTGGATGCCGTTCTTGGAATGAAAACTCACAGCGACTTTGAGGGAGGGTCTGTCGGCATGGTGATGCAATCGACACCTCTCTGTGGACAATCGTTTTAAAAAAAGAAAAGAAAAAAACACATAGAATTCTGGTAATTCTAATGAAAACGCAATGATTTTAGCTGTCAAAGACTCCATCCACCATTGTTGCATAGTGAAATCATGTAAGGCCATCTGCTATTAATCCTTCTCTGGACAGGTGCCCTGGAGAAGGGCACCAACACAATGAAAAGGGTCCATTCCACCTGTTTTATAATGTACTACAGGGTATATGGTCATAAGTACTTACTATACAGAAAAAAAATAAATGTTTATAGAATCTATTTTAAATAACATGTACGATATTGGTAGTTAGACCATTCTTAATTGTTGAATTGATAAGGCACTTTTCTTTACACCTTTCTTTAATTTAAGACGTGTATATTTACCTAGTGATGTGTTGCATGTGCACAAGAAATACAAGTTGAACCACAGAGGCTGCAGAGGACACCGGCCTGTTAGGATTGCTGGCGAGGCTGCCGCTGAGTGAACAAAGAGGCTTGGATGAGAACGCAGGTTAGAGGAGCTTTTACCTCATCAACGGACTTCATCCTTTTAGTCAGAATGAACTCTTTTGTGACCTTTTGTTATGAACTGACCCGAGTTGAACAGCTAGAAAAAGCAAGCGAGAGACTAAGGAGGATGTTGTTTGGTGAGGCACAGGTATTATGTAAAGAAGGACACAAGAAGACAGAAATTAGACAACCCGGCCAGGTTTTAGAGACTATAACACAATTGTTCCATCTAGTGGAAAGTGAAGATACAGCAAGCAAGTTGACAGCCTGCTGACAAAGATTTAACTTCTAACCTAAAAGCACATCCATGAGCCACTGTCCCAACTTCTCCGCTTTGTTTTGCTGTTATTTTTGAGAGACTTCATCTGCCTTCTCACCACAGCCTCGGCCTCGGCAACGCCCCAACAGGACATAAAGGAACAGTGAAGGGAAAGGGAATATTCAAAGCCTTGTCTGGTAGTAAAGCTTCTATTTTTGTAACACGTTTTGGTCTAAAAAACTCTTGAAAGAGAACGAGGGAGAGGAAAAGATGTCAGGTAGCACTTAGCAACTATATTCCTGCAATAATTAGACTAGCTGTTGTTTGTACGATTAGGGGAGAAACATACGGTAGGACAAGTGCTATTTTCAGAATGCTTTGTTGTTGTGCTTCTGTTTTGTTGAGTGTGTCTTTCTCGTCAGTGTGGTAGTAAAGTAAACCCTAGATGTGCCAAACGGTAGTCGTTGCTTCCCCTTTCCAGTCTACTCGTCTGTAACGTAGAATGGATTCCTAAGACATTCCAGCAATCTCAGTAGCGGCTTCTAGAAATATCTTTAAAGAAACAACAACAAAAAAAAAGAAAAGGAAAAAATAATATCCCTTTAGAAACCCAACAAAGCATGTTGATGCATCTGTCACCAACCGTAACATAGAATCCAGTTGTTTGTCTTTTGTTTGCACACGATCATTCCTCAGCCGTGCAATTTGTACTAGGCGTTAACGCCTTGTGCTGTCACCCCTCAGGGAAGAGTTTCTTTCGCGCTTTCTGTTTGAGAGGACATTTATTTGTACTCATTAGTTTGTGTTGCGTGTGTTGTTTTGTTGTCAGGGATGATTTCTCATTTGAATATTCAAGCAAATTTTACATTATCGACGTCCTGAAGGGGCCCCCAGCCACGCGAAGACCCCTGCGTCCCTTTGGTCAAACTCAAGAAAAAAACAAAGAACACTCATTTATGTAAACAACAAAACCCATCACTTTTAGAAAGCGCAATTTTATCAGCACACAGCATATTCCTGTCAAACAAAAAAAAAAATCTGTTTTGGTTTCAAACGGTGTCATCAGGGTCTTTAAAAATGATAACCCTCTTTGTTAGAAAAACCAAATATTCTTATGCAATACTAAATCTGTTGTGTTTGGGTTGTAGTAGATATGCTGTACCGAAGTAATAATCTCTCTTCTGATCCAAGGCTGTTTGGATATGCACAAGCCCTCTACGACTAGCACACCTCAGTCTCCCAGCAAAAGAAAAAAAAAAACCCAGTCTGGAACACTGCTAGACAATCCAGGTTGAGGGGCCCGGTGGCCCCGCGAGAGGATAAGGTGTGAACGCTCAGGGAGGTAACAGGTAGACCGAAGAAGCAGCCCGCTTTACCCCCCCCCCCCCCCCCCCCCCGACAGTGCAGAGCATTGTTAGCTCTCATGCGATTTATGAGGTCTTTAAAATCTCTTCAAAGCACCCGATGATATGAGGAGGGCGGCGTAGCACATCGAACGTTTGGAGCAGCGAGCACTTACTGTTCAGAAAAGTATTAATAGATGGAGGCTCAGCTGAAATCCTGTTATTTATTTGCAAAAAAAAAATGATTCCATTTTCTTAAGCTGTTGTAATATCGCTTGATGGTCGCCTAAAACAATTCAGTATTTTTCTTAAACATGATCAGCTGAGGTCTCTTTCGTCTCTGATAAAGTGGGGGAAAAAAAATCTTTTTTTTTCCCGAATGGCGTATAATGTGTTCTACAATACAAAACAAGCAATATGCCTTGTCTTACAATACGGGTCTCTACAGTGCAGTCATCGTCCTTTTTTATTTGACTTTGTTCCGCTGAATCAAACTAATGATATACAAAAAAAATACCCACACTCTGTCATCTCTGTACTGTTATGATCTTGGCACGATAGCAGAAAATGGTCATCGAACACATGACTTCTTGTGTCTAACGATAAACTGCGCCTTCACACAGGCCTGTAAAGTGATGTCCTTCTGTGTATTCTCACATGATATAACCCAGTTTATGTAAGGGATTGATGCTAAGTGTGCTATTCAATCAGTGTGTAGTATACAGTCAAATGTGCTGGTCCTTCTGTCTCTGCTCCGTTGTCTGTCTGTACAAAGCAATAGTGTGTGTGTGTGTGTGTGTGTGTTTGTTCTCACAGTGTGTGAATAAATGAAACCCCAGACAAGGCTTTAATAATTACAAAGGAACAGGGTTACGTGGAAAAGGATTTTCTCTTGGTCTATTTTAGAAATGTACGGTTTTGGAATTGCCGAGCTTGATCCATCCATAATAGGTGTAGTTTTTTTTTTTTTTTAAAGCATGACATAATACCTTCAACAATTCATGAGTGTGCCGAATCCTGGGAGGCACCATTGACCAGCTTCTCAGCGCAAAACATTATCGGTTCGGACAGTGCGGCCACGGCCCGAGCTGTGATGGATTGAAACGAATTTCGAGAGAGTAAATTGTTTAAACGAGTCTTCTCGGCCATAAATTGTGAAGATCAGTGTTACGTCGCGCTTAACGTTGTGCTGGAGTGTCGGTGTGTTATCCCGAAATTATGAGTCGGTCATCATATTCTAAGCAACTCATTTTCCAAAGCACAGCTGATAAGTATTTATGATTCAAAATAAGTTTAAGAATATAGTGAAGAAAAAAAAATGAAAAGCAACTTTTAGCCATAATCGAATGTCAAGCAATAATATATGTCTGTGTTTTATTTTGGATTCTTTTGTGCATAATAGTCTTTGAACATCTGCATGTAAATACACCTTTTTAATTTATCACTTTTTGGTTTACCTTGTGTTAATTTTGTGGATTTTTTTATGTTCCATTTGTATATTTGACCAGTTCTGTTCCCAGGTGGAGAACTAAGAACTTCTTTTCCCACTCTTGATCTCCCTCATTGTCAGCCGCTTATTCACCATATTTAATATCATTGATCACATGTATAAAGGTAGCTCTGTAATTTCTGTCTGTATAGGTAAGAAGAAAATACTGCTACTAAGGCCTACCCTGGGAAACTATTTATCTGTTTGTCAATTACCCCCTTTTGTACGATATCTCTCTAGTTTGCTTCCCTCCTTTAGGATTAGTTTGATAGAGATCGGGTGTGCTGACATTTATTTTGTGTTGCCCTGATGTGTGGTGCTAGGTTAAGTTAATTTTGTGAACTAAGTATTAATTCCTACGCCTGGCTTCCCTATTAGTCCATTCATTTCATTGCATATTAATGTGTGATTGATATTAGGACTCAATAAATTATAATGATATTAAAAATGATAGTGGTAAAATTACCCGGTTGGTACCTGTATCAGTGTGCTAGTCTCGGGATAAGGCACTTATTTCCTTCTGACTTATAGGACAGCTAGTGTCTCCTAATTAACAAACTATTTAAGGTTGCTTTTCTGGTTTGTGGAAAAATGCTAAGATTCAAACTGAAACCGCTGAATTGTGTTTTTTTTTTTTTTTCTCTGTCTGATTGTAATAAACCACTCACTGAGGCTATAGTTGGTCAGGTTTTAAGATACTTAATATTTACCTCTCTTTGTGTCTGCATAGTTCTTCACCTGATGCAGGGAAGTGGTGCTTGGATTTATTAAACAGAGTCTCGGTATATGCTTTTGTTATTCCCAATTTTAGACTATCCAGAAACTGGCTCCTTCACACCAGTAGCGTAAACCTCTTGCACCACATCAAGTGTTACAATTTTACCGTACATGAAAAAAAATTGCAATTTGAGGACAAAGTTGACCTTTTCTCTCCACTCTGTAGCAAATATCAGTGAGAATATGCTTGCAATAATACACAACGTATCACACTGAGTGCCTCTCGGTGTAACAGGATGCATACATGGTTTTGATTGTCATTTTTTTGTGGTTTTACACAGGTGTACTGAAGTGACGATGTATTTTGTACATGAGGATGAATTCTTAACTCTCACATGCTTCAAATGTTTTTCAGATTCTTTCTTTACGTGATTTTTTTTTTTAACCCTTCATGTGGGTTGATGCGCTCGATGTTAAAGGGTTTCAATGTGTAGTTGGTGCGTTTAGAGTGTACATCGTCACCCCTTACCTTGTTTTTTGAGAAACACAACTGGGAAGTTTGTTTCATGTTGATCTTGAAGAATGGTCAAATAAATGCTAAATAAATAAAGTTCACCTTTCTTTTGGTCAGACAAAACAGGCAACCCACATTTCTTCAATATCTGTTTGTTTCTGTGTTTTTTTTAATGAGGTTTACCAATGCATTGTATATTGAGTAGTTGTATGTGTTTGTAAAAGAGACATACAACACATTTGGATTTCTTTAATGTTCTGTGTTCAATGTGCGCTCATTCAGTTGGGGTAACTTAACGTGGAGGGTGGGTGGAGCTGGGGTGGATTCTTTTTCCATGCAAAAGCAGTGCAAATTATGAGAAAGTCAAAACTAGTGTGTGGTTGTCACAAATTTCTAAGTCACACATTTGCTACTGATGTTAAAATGGAGACAGATGATCATGTACCTTTTTATCCAGCTCTTTTGAACTCTCTTTAGCAGGTAGTCTATTCACAAACGTAGTTTTGCTCCTTGTCTGATTCTCAAATATGAAAATAAGTATTTTGATTCATTTTGTAAATACAGCTGTAAAGAAAAATAAGAAATTTAATGTTGTCTTTTAAATACTTTTCATTCTAATATGAATGTTGTTATATTGTACTTAGAAACTGTACCTTTAATATTACCTTTATTAAAAGTGCATTGGACACATCGATTTTAGATGTGCTTTATGTGCTGTTATCCCATAATAAAATTTACCGCTTGTAATGGGCTTTTATTTCCTGACTATTCATCCGTCTCTGTTGTCTGCTCTCTTTTCAACTTCACATTCAACTAAATGTATATTTTTGATTATTTCACCAGGCCCAACTGTTTATATTAGTTTTAACATTTAACATGAGTTGGTAGCCTCACTAATGAAACCTATTGCCAACTTAAATATAACTAAATAAAACCTAGGTTATTACATAATACAATGCAATACTATTAACTTATTTGTGGTATCAAATGTATCAAAATTGAATAAAAAAAGACTGCAATTATTTTCAATTGTAGGAAAATGGGATTTCTCTCAGATATTTTGATTCCACAAAAATAACTGCAACATAAAATAGTTAAAAATATTTCAACATTGCCACAAGTCAACATTGTATTGTTGGCCAAATGCTGAAGAAAAGCAAGATCAGGAGGTTTTTAGCTGTATGTGTTCAGATAGTGCCCACAATGCTATTGTTTCTAAAGCTTTATATTTATTTTATTGTATTCAGTATATTGTACATTTAAACAATGGTGGATGCCTGAGCCAGGTATGGATATGAGCACTTAGGGTGGTGAATGCAAAACAGCAGGTGCGTTCACGAAGTATCTGTGCAATGAGACAAGAGAACGGCTGCAGCTGCTGCTCATGAATAACTTTAGTTATTAAAGTAAATACTTTATACAGACATTAAAACCTGCGTCACGTAGAGCCAGGTAGTGCTGGTTGGTTGTCACCAACGCTGTTTTAGATGAGCCGTAGGAGGATGGTTATTGAACCCATCACCGGTGATGACCGGAGGGGGCAGCAAAGCGCACGTGGCCCTTTGGTCCTCCAGGCGATGACGTCACCTGTCAAGCGCGTGTCGTTAGCTGGCTAACGCTAACTCGCACATTTGCTGCGTCAATGCTTTCATTCCTCGGGACCGCTTGTTAGTCTTGTACATAATGGAGCTGGTATGGTGAGTACGTTTTTCAATGCAATATGCTTGATAAAATATCGGTAGTTTTCATGACAGTTCAGAATAATATTAGCGAGCAAGCTAGTTAGCGCCCCAGTGCCGTGGGGGGACTAACTGGCAGCCAGCTATGCTAACCACCGTCAGCTGAATCACCTAGCTAACGTTACAGTAACGGCGTGTATTAAACGTGCAGTGTGTTACTGTGCTGCATCTTTAGTTTAGTTACTGGGGAGACGAAACGAGAGCGCTGCACCACCATAACATTATCTTACACTATAGCTGGAGGCTGTAATATGAACGATAAGTTCAACTCTGGCGTTGTTTATGTCGACCGAAGTGTGCGTTGATTTAATAACGTAACAAGTTAAGCGTCTTAACAACTTTAGTTAGATTGTGTTAGAAATCCCTTTAATGTCGTTCTCCGTAGCAGGTTGTTTATTGCTAACTAACTTTAAACTGACGTTGATAGAGCATAAACTAAAAATGAGTGTATTTTAACGTTATTTGTTTACATATGTGAGTCTAAATTATGAATCCTTTATAACATGCAACAATTTAGATCCGATATTTTTAATGTCCTGTATCAACATTCATTCAGAGCCCTGGATTTGTGTTTGCTTGGTAAATCAACATCGATGACTGATATAATTTGCACCAGAAGAAAATATATAAATATAAAAACGTAACGTTAGACCGATATTGACGTATTACATTTACGGACTCCTTTTGGGAGATATGTCTTCTGTGAAATTCAATGTTGAATAATTGTTTTTAGTACTTTTTTTTTGTTATCGCCCAATGTTTACATTCTTTTAGATGAAGACATGGTCAATATCTTCTAAGCTGGAGGACAAATGAATCTCCTAAAATAAGACCATAAATAATAAATTCATTTTCTATCTTGTATTTCACTAAACCCTTGAAAATGAACCCTTCTGAAGACTAATTACATTTTAAACATATGGATTTTACACAGACCTTAACTCACTCTTGGTATACTTTGGAAAATGGAAAGAAAGTTATACTTGAGACATCCATTGTGTGGAATCTTTGTGTACAATACAGGCCCTTTTTAACATTTTCTTTTTTCTCTTTTTAATTTGAGGGAGGACCTTCCTGTCCCCGAGACTCCTTTCTTCACCAGAGATGTCTATGACAAATATTCACTTGCACCTAATATCCGGGAACTATGGGACTTTCTCCAAAGGTATTTCAATAAATAAACATATTAATTAATACCTCAGTTCAGGTGCATTTCTTTCTGTGTAACTAATGGCTGGTCTTACATGTTGCTCCTCACAGAAGTCCAGAAGAAGAGAACAAACAGGACCGTGGGTCTGCAGATGCCACCTGCTCCCCTTCCACAAAAGAGGCCCCAGATTCTAAAGACGACGGTTGCGTCAGAAATGAAGAGTCCTGTTGGTTCAGCTGTGATACTGATGATCCGAATGCAGACGATGCTGCTGGAGGTACAGAAGAATGTAAGGGTACTAAAAAAAAAGTCAAGCAGGTCGGGAATGAGAAGGTTGCTCCTTATCCTGAACCCAGACTGCCCCTCCCGTGTATGTCCACTCTGTCCAGCGCGGAGCAGAGGACGTATCTTGGATTTTTGATTAATAAGAAGATTAGATATCCGCAACAGGTAACGGCGTTCTCTCCTCGATGGTATTTTTAATCCCGGCCGTCCTTTTTGCATCCTTTCTTAAACTCACATGCTCTAGTTTCAGAACTTGAAGTCACGCGTAAACAATGAAGTGATGCAGTTCATGAGGTACCTGCAAGATGTGGCCAGAATATGTGCCAACGACTACAACTTCATACCACAGGGAGCAATGCAATACTCCGAGGTACTAATACTACTAGGTTTGCACCAGGTATATTTTCATAAGTGTGCACACATTTAGCCTTCATTTTTTCTTTTTCCAGGAGTTTTTCAGGGAGTGTTTGGAGCACATTAAGACACTTCCCGAGCTCTATCAGATCTTCGAGATGACTAGTTTAACCGGCGGAACATTTGACCCCCGGCTGATGTTGACCTTTGAGAAACAGCTGCTCATCATGGTAATCTACTTTGTGTTGAGTATCAAGAGCTGTTCTGTTTTTCTTTTTTTTTTTTTACAGATATGTAGGATAACTCCTTCATATAAATATATGTTAACAAATGCCATTGTCCAGTTTTCTATTCAACCTTTACTACTTGAAAGTGTTTAATTGCAGAATCTGTCTTTTGGTTGATTCATTGTCTCCATTTTCAAAATTTGTTCCCCTTTATTTCCCCAGGGCAATGTGGATATTACAGAGCAGAAGATAGTGCCTGCTGATGCACAGCTTGCATCGGATTATCAGAGTGTTTCATCAGAGAATCCTCCAGCTAAAAAAGCCAAGGACATGCACGCTGTAAGCCGTTGTCTCCCTTTTTTAATTACTCCAATAAAGTAAGTCACAAAGACATTTTACTGCTCGAATGGGATTCATGACCGCAGGTCTGTTGTTAAATCCATTTTAGCTCGTTGCAGTTTTCACAAAAGACACCAGAGGGTGTTCATGTCTTGCTCAGCATAACCAATGCTAATTGTGTTTCTGAAAGATGCACACACACACACGCACAGTACTGCTGATTTTATATATATATATATATATATATATACATATATATATTTTTTTCCTCCACAGAAAATCAGTAGCGATAGTAATGCTAAGAGACTGTCGGCCCGTTATGAACCTGAAGTGTGTCTGACTCGAGATGCCCTCGTCAGGCTGCTGGACAATCATGGCCCTGACTTTGGAGATCAATGGGAGCTGCCTGTTTGGGTTCAATTAAACCCAGGAAAAGGTACAGCAGCATCATATAGGAACTCAGGCTGTTCTCTCTTTGTGTTGCTGTTCACATTATACTATCTAAATGGAAGCCTTTATTGGGAGTTGCATTTTATTTTATTTTTTGTATACATTCTTTCCCAATAAGTGATTTTTAATTTTAAGCAGTTTGCTATATTACTAAATAGAATAGTAATTATATTTTGGCTCTTGAGAGATTCATGAGATTTTAGAAATGAAGTATCTAAACATATGTGACAAACGTTTATTTCATTCACTGTAAAAGAAACAACACTTGAGATTCACGTTGGTAGTTCATACACACATTTTGGCACTTTTGAGGTGTGAGACATTTGTAGTCATGTCGGTGACCGAATGCAACACTAAAGAATTCTTAGATGAAGCGCAGTGTTAAATGACATCACATTAACTTAGGGTGGCCCTGTTTCTCATTGGATTTACAGGCAGTAGTCAGAAGAAGACCGTGTACATCGACTCACCTCTTCTGCAGACTGAAATGACAATAAGAGGGCGGTCACATGTCTACCACGAGGAGAGTTTGAAGCTTTCCTTCAAGAAGAATGGAAGTAAAAATGTGTTTCATTTAATGACGGAACTTCCTGTGGATCACTGGCAACTATCCTCAGTATGTAGTCTCACACACACACAGATGTCCTATACGTGCTAGCGTGCATGTGGTCGTATTTCATATGAACAATTATTCTTTGTTTTGTGTTTCTTAATCAGGGGAACTCACAGAGATACTTGCCCTCTGAAACCAATCTGCTTGACTTTGAGGTGGACCTCACTGACCTGGAAACATTTGGAGAGGCGACCCCCAAGAGGCAAAATGCATGTGTTGAAAGTTCCCTGCCTTTAGCTAAGACAAAAAAATCCAGTGAGCATCTGGCAAACACCAGTAGCAGTTCACAAGAAGAGAGGAGCAACTCATCGACCGACGTGAATGGTCCCGTTACAGAGGAGTCAACTCGGACAGTTGCAAATGAGGCCACTTCCCCAAAAACTCTCCAAAGTGACGTCGACCTGCCTTTAATGGGAGACTCTGATGAAGAGAAGCTGGTCATTGATGAATCTGTGTCTCTAGCTAACCCAACTTCACGCTCTGCAGACCCTGCGGCAATTCCCGCGTCCCAGTCTGTGCCTGAGTCCTCATCTCCTCAAAAAGGTACAAGGCAGAGGCGACCGTCCAAAAGAGCACAGCCATCAGGTGACCAGCTGGGTGAGATCCTGCGCATGCAGACGGCCATGTTCAAATCTCCCTGCACCAGCACAGCCCAGGACTCCAATTCACCCTCGCGATGTGCTGGACCATCTGTTCAGTCCCACCGAGTGTCTCTGGTGAAGCCCAGTGTGTCCTTGTATCTGGAGAGAAACCAGGATCAGGATGGAGAGACCTGTGCTACTCCTCTCCTATCTGCACCGGGGGGCAGCATTACTACTAAGAGTTAGTCTCATTTTTTTTCCATTCTGTGGATCCAGGTTGTTTCCATGTGCGCTATTAACATAGTGCATCATTGGCCTCCCATACAGAAATTCTGTCACAAGACTTGCAGGCTGGTGCTGAAGATGAACAAGACTACACAGCTCCAGAGGAAGGAAACCTGCTCTATAAGCTCTACAGTCTGCAGGATTTGCTCATAATGGTGCGCAGCTCTGTCTCATTGGCCCATACCAGGAAAGTGGGCCAAAACGGCAAAAACCAGGTATTTAGTTTAGTTTAAATTCCTCCTTTTGAGCTCACATATTAAAGTCCAAAGTGAATAAATGCATCTACATCCGTTTTCTTCCACAATAGTTGGTGCCAGTGCATGTACTGCCCAAGCTGGAGTACCAGTTGAATTACGGTGTTGAGTGTCTGAGCAGCAGTGAGGCTTGCCAGCTGTGGACTGAGACGTTGCTCCACTCCAGCACCGTATCCTACATAGGTAAGAAAAGAGAAACTCCTTATTTCCTTTACCTGCAATCTAATTCTTTCTAAATTCAAGGAGAAATACTCTCCGGTCCAATGTAACAATCCTTTAGTCTTTACATTTTCAATATAATTGCCAGGAAAATAGTCAAAATAATATTTATGTGGGTAAGGAAAATGGGAATTTCTTTCTTCTTCCTCCCTCAGAGGGTTCACTAGAATCCACATGGCAAATCCTCCCACAAACCAAATGAATAGTCTTTAGATGACTCACCATCCTGCTGTGACTGTTTAGTCAATACGTTTACTTTGTTGCCATAACTACAGCCACACAGGATTGTGGGGAATAACTAAGAGCAGAGCTCAGCTAAATGTTAAAATTATAGTAATGTGTATTTTCTTCTTACATCTACTACTGTCCTCTTTCTGCACTAGGTTCCCTCACTTATTGACTCGTATAAGTGTTGGCTTTACACGCATACGATAATATGTCAAGCATTCCAGTTTATTTCTGACTTTGTGACCTTATGCAACAGGCACAACTGGTAAAAGACTTCCTTCTTTGCAAAGTTGTGCCTAGTTCATCATGTGCTTTATCATGTGGCATTCCCCAAACGTGTACGGATGGCGTTGGGGGCTGGCTGCAAAACACTCGGTAATTGAAGGAAGGCACTGTTGAGTTAAAGCGTATCTTCCATGTTGGAGTGGGAGGCATGAAAGGAGACGGGGAAAACAAGGTTTTCTTACCTCCCACTCAAGATTGTAACAATGTCGACAAATCAACACAGACTAATGACTGTGTAAGCACTATGAATGGGACTGATGATGAAGTGAAGGTCACGATGTGCACGCTCATTAGACCTCGTCCCTTTCTCTGTGCATCTCTCACCCTCCCGCTCTGTCTCTGCAGCTCACATCAATGCGCACACTTCAAAAGTAGCTTTGCTGAGGAGGCTGCCTGACGACTGGAAACAGAACGTCTCCTGTGGCTTCAAGTGAGTGTCCTCACAACAGATGTGTGCAGAATATAAGGATCGGCCTAATCACCCCTGTATGAGTCTAGTTTTAGCGTTAACGTGTCATCTCTGTATTCAGTCAGTAGCTCAACAATGCTAGCCTTTTTTTCCAGATGGCTACTATCACCTTTGCTTTCGTCATTTGATCGAATATTACTATCAAAGTAGAGTTTGGTGACATCTCCTTTCCATTCACAGGCCGTCCAAGTCCCTGAATATTCTGCACCATCTACTGAAAAAGCTCACTGGGTAAGTTGTTTTACTGCTGAGCTCCTTCACACTCACTGTTTTGACAGTCAAAATACGAAAATTGGAGTTGATAGTCCATCAGGATGTATGAAAGGAAGTAAAACTCATCATCGACTGGTTCCTGCAGGCATACAACCGACAGGCAGTATTTGTAGTTGGGAAAGTATTCCCTTGTCTCAGGTGTCCGGGCCGCCTGATGTCTCGCAGCCGGCGGCTGAAGACTTGATATAGTTTGCCATTTGTATGGGAGGGTCACACGATTACTCAGCGACACATAATACATGTGTCACCTTCTGCTTTCTTAAGGCTTTGCTCCTCTGCACAGGAAGAGAATGCTGCGTGTTTCAGTGTGTGGGCTCTGACTTCAACACACCCTCAATGACTTCATTTGGTTTCGTAGGTTGGAGGAAGGACGGTACCTGATTGCACACAAGGTGGGAGAACCATTCGTGACCCTATTAAAAGCGGCTAATGGGAAAGCGAGTCGGGGGGCGTACGACCTGCAGAAGCTCCACAACTCAGTCCCCCGTCCCCTGGCCCCCGGGCTCGTGCCCTGGATACCTGTCGATCCAGCTGTGGTCATGTCCTTCCACAAGAAGCACGGGCGTGTCCCCTGCACATTTCCACCAAAGCTCCTCGGACAGGTGTGTATTGAACTTGCGTCACCAGCGTTGAAAGATGAAACGGTAAAAAAAGAAAAGAAAACCGCCCTGGTGGTCATGAGCCGACAACTGAGCTGACAGATTGGACAAATAGGAGTTGCTTATTGTTTAATACCTAGAAAGTCCACAAACACGGGGATTCTCTAAAAGCTAGAGATAGATGACTTCTTCTTCACAGGCTGAACCAGCAGACTCACCAACCCGTGACTAAAAGCACTAACTAAAGAGAGCAAAGGTTAGGGGAGCAGACTCCGCCATATGGAATTTAACACAGGCGTCCAATAAATGACTCAAATGTATTTCCACTGCTTTTAACTTGACTGTTAAACGGAAAAAGGCAAATGTTTCGCAAGTTCTCAACAGGGCATTTTGATTTTGGACGTTTGCCACGGGACTCTTCTACTTCTGAGAATGACCACTTCTCAAATAACATGATGGTATTTTACATTCGTTTTACCTTCCTTTATCCTACCAGACGGCGAAGGAGGGCTCATTGCAGTCCAACAACCACGGAGCTGGGCCAGCAAGGAACAAGTCCAATGCAGAAGCCAAGAAGAAGAAAAAACAAAAGAAACGTGCAGCCAGGCGTGACCAGTATATCAAAAAGTTAGTTCAGAATTCCATTTAATGTGAGTCAGACGAGGAGTTGGACCTGCACCGAAAATAAAAAGAGAATTAGACCACTTATTACGCCAATAATTTCAGAAATACCTTGTGACCCTAAAATATCTGTGAATGCTGAAGCACTTTGAGAGTATAAAAAAATATACTTTTCTTTCTTTTTTTTTCAAAGAGAAGATTTTATTAATAGTTGTGTTTTATGAAAACAATAAAGTTTGATCCATATTGAGTAAATTTACTGTCTTAAAGTTCATAACCGTTTGTATGAATGTGTGTGTTTGGATTATTAAAGTCACCTAGAACATCTTGAATGTGTTGAAACGTTGAGCTCCAGGGTGGAGTCATGAGTGCATGAAAAGGGGAGGGGAAGGGGAAGTCTTTTTCTAGCAGAAAAGTTGAACCTTCACACCCATTCCATTTAAACGTTGCCTGGAAAAACCTCTGCTTCACCTCATCGCTGGCTGCCTACTCGGGTAAGTTGTGATAGTTTTTCCATTTTCATGTGAACAAACCATTTGTAATTTTTCTATTCTTACACTGCAGGGAGGTTAACGGGAATTCTCCTATTTCCAGTCATAGCAAATTATGTTTACACGATTTCCACATGTTTTATTTATGTTAGTAAGCTTGTATTCCTGCTCTACCTGTTTTTTCCCACGTGAAAGGACTCTGTTGTTGTAACAGACTTGAGTAGAGGAGCACTGGTTCCAGGGTGTGGCTCTGTGGGGAAGCAGTTAAGGATGTGTCACTCTGAACCAGGATTTCAACGATTGTAATTAAACTGTCCGTATGGAAAACAATGTAAACGGAAGAATACCGTCACTTAATGGAAAGAGTCTGTGTTGTAACAACTTCAATGAGTTACATTTCTCTGCCTCTCATTTCTTCTTTTGTGCTCTGAAGGCATGCGACAAAATACACAGTGTAGTGTTTGCAGCTCTGACAAGTCGGTGATATGATTCAAATGAGATTCCAGGTCACGATTGTCTGATGTTTGCAGTTTTTTTTTTTTCTTCACTTTTCCAGGACGGTCACAATGGCTATGGTATCAGAGATCCTGGGACAACTCTCGCTCAACATCGGGGTAGAGTCATATATTTAATCTATGCACTCATATAATAAAATACATGGTGTACCTTTTGAGGTACGAAAGGATGATCTCACTCCCGATTTGCCGATTTGTTGGATCCTCAGGCCCGTGAACCCACTTTCCCCACCGTGGTACCCGCTAAGGACTTTGACCCTGACAAAGATGCTGCCAGGATCGAGACTGCTATCAAAACTAAAGGCAAGCTGCAGCACGCTGCCCTCATGGCTGAGCAGAAGCAAATCAGTGCTCCCTTCTGCTCTTCTCTCTCTACGGACGAGGAGCTGGTATTTGTGAGTCAGCATTCTGGCTTAAAAGGTTTTGACCATACTGGGAACACTTCCCAGTCTGCTGCCCCAGTGCTGGCGCAGCTTTGAGCCGAACGCGCCAGCAGTCCCAACATGTTGTTGTTATGAAGAATACATTCTATGTTTCTTCACTAATGAAGTTTTACAGTGTCACGTGTTGCTGCCAGAAGCCGCTTATGAGAGCGAGAACCACACACACCGATACGTTTAATACACTCTGAACCTGTGACATGGCATTTTCCTTTGGAGGGCCCAGCATGCCTCTTATAAGTGGGATATGGTTGTCTAAAGCTATTTTATGAATGTACTTTAAAGATCCGTGATGACGTATCGTACATCGGGCCCCGTTGGGCCTTTCAATCATGACACAATGTAATGTGCCGTACATATTTGTGTCAACGCTTCTTTTCATTGTCGATCCATACAAAGTCCACCGTGTTTGGCTTCGAAGTACTCGTGCAACTGTATTTGGTCTCATCTCTTTTGCCTCACCTCATATGTGTCTTGTTCGTTCTAATGACAGGGGTGGATGAACAGACCATCATTGACGTCCTGACAAAGCGGACCTACTCCCAGAGAACCGAAATCGCTTTTGCGTATGAAAAGAGGGCAAAGAAGGTACCGTAGCCCTTGAGGGACAATCCAAAGTGCTTCGCAGTTGCAGCTCTTATGATAACGGAGACATTCGGGTTACATTGTTGTATTTTTAGGACATGGTCTCCGCCCTGAAGGGAGCGCTGTCTGGCTCTCTGGAAACCGTGATCCTTGGATTGATGAAGAGCACGACCCAGTATGACGCCTCATTGATCAGAGGCTCCATCAAGGTAAAAGGGCACCGATTTGATTTAAAGGTTCCACCGCCCTCTGCTGGACAAACCACAGAACCTCTCATTTGTGTTGTTTTTTCAGGGTGCAGGAACCGATGAAGAGACTCTGATTGAGGTCTTGTGCTCGCGCAGCAACAATGAGCTGGTGGAGATCAAGAAGGTCTACATGGAGCGTAAGTTCAAGACCTCCCTGGCCTTCATGGGGAAGGCTGGAAATACATTGTAATATTTAATGCCACCCATAGGTTGGTAAACGTTTCATTCACCAGCTTATCATACAACACTCTTTCTCCATCAAAAGGCATCTCCTAAATGTGATTACTGTAGTGACGCAGAGGAAGCTGAATGTCTCAAGTGTTGTTGCCCACAGTGTTCAAGAAGGACCTGGAGAAAGACGTGGCAGGCGACACCTCGGGGAACTTTGCTAAGCTGCTCTTGGCTCTGGTGCAGGTGAGACCGGCTCAGCGGCCGTCTTCACGATTGATGCGACAGCAGACGGTCCGAGCTGACCGGAGTTTGTGCCTTTTTTCCCTGCAGACCAAGAGAGCAGAACCGTCCTCTATTGTGGACTATGAAAAGATTGACGAAGATGCCAGAGTAAGTTACCCATTTTCACTTTACGTATGCGATTGAAAATATATCGATTTTATAAACGTATATCTCATACAGAATAACTAGGTCACTTGAAAGGTTTGCTAAAATGTCCAAATTAGTTTTTAAACCATTGCTCATTTTGAACTCGTTCTTAATTTTTTTTTTTTTTTGGCCCCTTGATATTTAACAGTAATGCAAACTCTTCTATGCCACAGAGTGAAAAGTATTTTTTGTTGGTATTTCATTGATTCAACTCAGGCCCTCTATGAAGCCGGGGTGAAGATAAAAGGAACCGATGTGCCAACCTGGATCTCCATCATGTCTGAGAGGAGCGTACCCCACCTGCAAAAGGGTAAGAGGCTGCTGTGGTTTGATATCATGGTTTGTGATGGTGTTGTGGTTTGACATCATTGTTCCCTAATTGTGGATTTTTCTTGTAAATGGTTCTTGTAAATTTGAAAAATTCCCAATCGCTTTTTTAATCCCCTTTTTTTTTACCCCTCTGCCTGTTTAGTGTTTGAAAGGTACAAGAACTACAGCCCCTACGACATGCAGGAGAGCATTGTGAAAGAAGTTAAAGGAGACCTGCAAAAGTCCTTCCTGGTGCTAGGTACACAAATCTGTTATCAATAAGTCCCATTATTAATACATTACACTCTGTTCATTACATGTAGGCCGGGTGTTGTCTGAATCACTTCTAAAATTACAAAAGGTCTTCCGTCAAATAAAATGTGTTATTGTTATTTATCTGTTCTTTCTCTTGTTCCAGTTAAGTGCTTTGAAAACAAACAGCTGTACTTTGCCAGCAAACTGAATGAAGCCATGAAGGTAGTTACTGTTCTGTTTCGTTTCTTCTCGCTGAAATGTGGCTATTTTGAGGGTCTTTCTTTCTTTTGGAACAGATGTAAGAAGTACATCTTGCGTTTGAAAAGTGCAATTTTGCTGCAGGAACACAGAATCCAAAGTGGGCAGAAGTTCTCTTACCACAGCGTTGCATCAGCTGCTGTAGTGAAGTTGAAAGCGTGTAACTTGTAAGCGCTGACTTGTGCTCGTCTGCTCAGAGCAAAGGCGCCAAAGAGAAGTCGGTGACCAGAATCATCGTGTCGCGCTGTGAGGTGGACCTGAAAAAGATCTGCTCCGAATACAAAACTAACTTTGGAGAGTCTCTGCAGAAGACTATTCTGGTGAGTGAATTATTCAGGTGACCTTTTACTGATTCACGGTCTGTTGTCATGCAGCCGCTCTGACCCGCTCTGTTTCTGCAGGAACACACCAAGGGAGACTACCAGAAGGTGCTGCTCGGCCTGTGTGGACCGGAGGAGTGAAATGAATCACCCGTATCAAAAGGGCCTCACTGCGCACCTCTGGAAAGGAGAACTGGAAACATACATATAAATGCGACGTTGAAGGAGATGAGTTTGTGTCTCGATAGATGAAGAATCTGTATTAAAGCTTACTTTTGTTACGCCAAAGAAGCCTCTTTGTTGGAGTATCAGTCTTCACTTTCTCTATGTACGTTTAGTTCATAGTACATTGTTGTGTGTTGATAACGTAGATGACCTCTAGAGAGCGCTGTAGTAAAGCAAGAGCACGCTGCTGTGTCTCAGGCCTCATATCTTCATATCTGCCGAAGAAACGCAGAGAATTAGAAATATTGATTATAATAAAGTAATTCATCTCAAAGTATATTTCATTGTGATTATTTCCCCTAATTATTCTAACTAGTAATTTAAGTGTAAATACATTTAACAGTTATCCAAAGAACGCTTTGCACAAGCGGGTGAAATATGGCTATTTAGCAGTTTGCCATTTCTTAAACTATTTGAAATTATAACGTTCAAAACTGTAAGATGTATTACTTGTCTGATCAATATAGCATCTTTTCACACAAATAATAAAGATTCTCAGATTTCCACTATGAGGTTCCATCAAGATGATTTAATCATTAGTGTGTTTTTCCCTGTTTGTTTGGTGCTAATATTTTAATTAAAAATGTTAATTTTACCTCCGGCAGAGACGATTTGCATAGCACTAAACAAGCTTCTATACAGTGTGTTTCTGCTGTTTAGTTTGTGGTCTCTCAGGATGAAATAACCACCACAGTGTTGTCAAGGCATTTCTACTCAAGTATAAGAAAAAAGAAATGGCCCCAAAAGGCAAGATCGGAAATGCTGAACACAGCGATGAGGTGAAGGATGTGAGGGAAAGCACATGGACTAAATCTAAAACATAGCGGTGTACTGTGGCTCAAATACGACGGAAGATCATCTATTCATTATTATTATTCGAGAAATTGCCGGATAAAATAATGCTTCTGTCTAATATTCTCACTGGTTGAGTAGCTGAGGGGGGAAATGGCTTCAGGTTTTAACAAGGCACTAGATTTATGATCATTTTGTAATAATATTGATGAGAACATTAGCCTTTTGTGATGGTTCATGTTTATAGGCAATAAAAAGATAAAATATAGTGTAAAGTTGGGTAAAACTATATTTTGCAGAGCAGGGGATGAGATTTATGCGCGTGGTGCGGTGACAGATTCATCTTTGCATCATAAAGAGGAAAGTAGCACCATATTTTTCCCTTTTTTATATAGATGTACAACATGCTGTTCTGTTCAAGGCCAGTCCGTAGGGACCTCCAGCAAACCCAAGGGGAACTCTCTTCTCAATTGAAACGATGCAATTTACTGTCCCAAACGCTGGCACTTCATCATTCAGAGGACTTTAACCCCATGAATGTCAAACACCGAGCATGCCGGCAAGGAGATGGAATACCTGGCATTACCATAACAACTAGAACCAAGTGACAAGCACTCCGAAGCCTAAAAGGTGACGAATAATTCCAGATAATCACCTAATGAGGGTTGATTTTGAGAGTGAGATTTCTGATTTACTTTGTTTTTCTGAATAATCAGAGACACCGTGAAGGACAAGGGACACTGTCCTTCACGGTGGACGACACACCCAGCCGTCAGGCGGCTCTGTTGTGGTGCTTCTAGCCCGAAAGGTCAGACAAATCCTGTTACTCCTTCTAACACTTGTCCCAGTTAGATTGAACATGTGGATGTCTTCCCCCGTTCACCTCAGAGACAAAGCACAGGCGGCGCTCGCAGGCCTCCGGCGGCATTAAAGTTTCACAGTGCAGCTGTGTAGCCGCTGCCGGCCCCGAACAGACACACCGACTGCACACTGGGAAGGTTTTAGTTTGTGCTTTTTATTCATTTATTGCATTCAACGGCGCTTTCAATTTGGGGAAGCGACAGCGTCTGAAGTTTCCTTTTCCATCGCTCTCCCTCCTTGACACATCTGAACCCGGCTCCCATTTTTTGTGCGGAGCACCAAAGGGTGTTTAATTATAGAGTAGTGGGCCACCAAGGTCTCCTTTTAATTGTGTGCATCCGTGTGTGTGTGTGTGTTTGCCTGCAGCTCTATAGGTCGCAGGCATACTCCAAATGAGAACTCCTACAGGCTAAGCTGCAGGATCCGCTCCCTTCACACAGCTGCAGAGCCGAGAGAGCCACGGTTTGATTAATATTTTCTTAATTATCATTATTTAATGCAGCTCAAACCAGAGCTTCTCCGGTGAAAGCGTGGCCTTTGTCTCCGCGATGCTGTGAACGCCCCGGCTCGTTAAGGGCACCGAGAGATCCTGCATATGGTAAACAAGACGTTGTGTGCTGAGCTGCCGCCTCGGGGACAGTCGGTCCCCCACCGAAGGACATCTCCCTCTGAAGAACGCCGCTCTGCTGCTGACGTTTCTCTCTGTGCGGACCGCAGAGCCAGATCCTCCCGCCTCTGGCATCGTCAGGCCCGTTTCCTTTTATGAGCCTCAAAAAAAAGAATCGAGACAACAGCACAGGCGGAGGAGCGCTGTGCACTCGTCATGCCATCAGGCTGCCTCCTTTGTACAGCAGACTGGTAATTGAAGCAGTATGAGAGAGCAGTGTAAGGCCTGTCTCCTCTTCGGGTTTGGCGGCAGTCGGTCCATCTGGAGACGGGAAAAAGAAAAAAAACAAGTGTCAAGAAGTTTGTAGAAGAGCTTTGTGTAACACGCAACACAGTGTATGTCTTTGAAGAGTTGAGATTCCCGACAGCTTGAGAAGCCAAAAGGCTTCTGGAGAAGATTGTACTCAAGCTAGGAATCTGCTGCTTAACCTTTTTGATACACTATTTACACATGCGGTGCGGTTCGATTGGGACAAGGTGAGGCTTTGTCGCCGTTCATTATTAGTCAATCATGTCTGATACTAATCACAATCCAGTTTGTTAAAAAGCGCGCCTGAAGACAAAACCCCGACTTTTCTGTAGTTTATCAGATCAGCAGTATGCGATGCCCAGGGCTGGATTTGGATGCTGACTTCTCTCTTTGCTTGAAGCTTCCTGCTCTTCAGCCGTGTGCTGCAGGGATGAGAATACCCTGTGGCCTGTTAACCTACACGCTTTCTGTCTGTAGCCGGCTGGCCCGCGGAGACGGCCCTCATCCCCTGTGCCTCTTCTGCCACTCGCCGCCCCGCCGAACATGTGCAAAGGAAACAAAGAACCACACTCGCAAGGATTGTTGTAATCCACTGAGTTTGATCACATCTCTGACATGCGATCAAAGGGGCTCTCTGGTTTATATCACACAGGGTGAATGCGCGCACAAAGTGTGTGTACGGTTTAATCTTTTGATGGCGCTCGCGTGGCCCCGAGCCAGATGCACTAATGATAATTTTCTGTGAAGTGGTTGTAATGGTGTGGCCCCACCAGCAGCAGCCCCTCCGTTGTTTGCACATGCCACCGGATCAGTTTTTGTGTGCGTGTGTGTGTGTGTGTGCGCGTGTGCTTTGCAGCCGCGATGCTGATAATATACCAGGATAACTGCAAGGGGAGGACAGTCCTTATGAGCCTGGCATATTAATGTTTATTTACACCATGGCTAATAAGATGTGTGCTCCGCAGCAGAGACAGAATGATGGTGGGTAATTAAACTGCTTTGCTTTAGATTCATCCATTATCCGTTCTCAAGCCTGCATACGTAATGTAATAATGTAAAATAAGGCTTGTTGCAGCCGTGGGTGAGGTGACCATTCTGCGGTGTTTTCATCCTATAGGAGCACGGTGTAAATCAATACGGCGCGTGTCACTGCAGACACGACGTATACAGAACGCTGTGATCAATTTGGGAGTTGTCAAAATGTGTATTCAGAAGCGAGTGAGGTATGACCTTTTACATAAGGCAATTTTGAAAGAACTCAAACACAGTGACAAGACTCATTTGTGTTTCAGCGTTTGGCTTACGACCTCCAACCTGTTGGAGGTCCGGGATTGACCGAGTGTGCGTCTAATCCATATTTTCATGACGCTTAATCCCATCCACTGACGGCAGGCCCTGTCACCAATGTCCTTGTCAGACCGGACCCTCTGCACACACACACACACACACACACACAGCCTCACCTTCATGCAAGAGATGGAAATCAGCTAGTCAGACACTCGAGCATGAACCAAATGTCAGCGACAAGCCACAGGGAGAGAAGAGGAGCCCATGGTAATTATTATAGAGACAAATCATACTGTTTCCCCTGCAAAACATGCTATCCCCGGATATCTGTGGCTCATCAAGTCATTTTCTTTTCTTTTTTTTTCCCTTCAGGGATAAACCAAGAGGAGACACAATTTCAATGAGTAGGTCTTTAAAAGCAGTGATTAACTCTGTGATGGATGTGGTTTATTTCCGCAAGCTTTTGCTCATCACTTTATGGCATTGTGCTCTGTGCACTTGCACGGTATTATTCAAAAAGTGAGAGTAATTCCGTTGAAATATAAGCGAGTTAGAGAAAACCGTAGACGTCTTTAGTTCATCAAAACGTCACGGAATTACAGATATATTGTTTTGAAGCCAGGCTGTGAAACTCCACCTCCTCTGACAGGAGAAAAGCAAAGTTTTGGAAAGGTGTCTACCAATTTCTTCCCCCGTGCTGCGCTACTTTCAGTCGAAAAAAACAGCCTTCCTCTTCTGCTTCTGACAACACGTTTCCCATGTGACACTTAACCTTTGGAGATTTCCCATTCTCTCTGATCATTCACTGCTTGGTTCATGTTAATTAACCCTGGGGCGCAGCAGAGAGTTGCAGGCTTTGAAGCAGGAGAAAGGAGGGGGGGAAAGAAGTGAAAACGATTTTGTTGTTTTCTGTTTCTCTTTGGCGATTCGTTTCATTTCCCCCGTCCGCGGGAGAGTCTTGGTGGTGCCAGTGTGGATAGTGAGTGGCGTGGGTGTCGGGAAGGATGCAACGCGGTTCGTGTCCCTGTCCCTCAGTGAGAGGAAGTTGGCCGGGGCAGCCTGACCTCCCTCAGGTGGCCATGGATATGGAAATCAGCTCCAAAATAGAACACAAGATGGTTTTCATAGCCTTCAGCTTCCCTGCAAAAAGGGATTCTTGTCTATTTCTTTTCATTCTTTTTGGCTCCCGGCAGAAATGGTCTTTTCTGTAGTTGCTTGAAATACACAAAGCACGTTTCTTGGGGGAGGAAATATAGCCCGAGCCCAAAGTATATCTTTTGAAATGATTTTGTTCACCGTTAACACTACTGGTTAGCAAAGCTCCTCGGCTCAGAGTACAGCAGGAACCTCTGGCCTTGTCATCAGCGATTGTAGGTACAGCTAAAAATACACCATCCACCGCAGCCAGGCGATGCGTTTAC